ACAAGAAAAAAATATTGTCTAGCTAATCTGCAGCCTCCCCAGCCCAGCTGATGCCCTTACTCCTGACCTGCAGCCCCCTGCCCTTCCAGCCTCCTCCCCCCGAAAACCCTTCCAGTGCACCTCACTCCCTAACTGCAGCCCCCTGACACTGTACTATATATGTCACCCCATGCCCTGCACCCCCAGCCCAGCTGGTGCCCCTCACTCCTGACCTGCAGCACACTGCACTCCCAGAAAGAGGCAGCAGTAGCAATAGTAAGCAGAGGGTGGTCAAAGAAGGACAGGCACATGCTGCTGGGGACAAAAATAGGCTTAGAAGGACAGGAATGCCAGAGAAGAGGGGCAAGTTTGGGGGGGAGATGACAGGAGGGGGAACAAGTATTGAAGGGAGCTGGTTGTAGGCTGTGGGGGTATGACAGCAGGCGATGATGATCTGCCAATGCAGCAGTTAAAAGGTTGACATGCAAATAGTCTAAGTGATAAGAAGACTCCTGTCATGGAGCCTGGGCTGTTTCTTTCTTCACCTCAGCTCACACTATGCTCCTGCTGTGTGGGGGTGTTAGCTCATGCTGGCCACTGTGTGGTGAAGGGGGGGGAGTTGGAGTAGGCTGATCATGGCCCCCCCAACCCCACTTTGGGAGAAGCTATCCTGGGCACAGGGATCCCTGGTAGCCAAGGAATTGTAATCAACCTTGATAACAACCCCAGGCCACCCCCATGCTGATTCTCATCTTTGGAAAAAATCCTGCTTTTTGAAGTGAGGATACAAACAACAGACAGGATTCTTTCTATTTTACATAAAAATTCCTGTAGTAATGTTTCCATTCAGGCCTTAGCCTGGGTAGCTTGGGTACATGATATCCAGATGCCAATACACACGGCGGCAGTGGGGAGAGTCAGCCAGACCCTTTGTGTACCCTTGTGTAGTCCTAAGTGTACCTCGCACGCAGCGCCCAGTGCAACAAGCGTGCAGAAAAAGCGGGGGGCAGAACTGCTTTGGGACCAGGCTTGGGTAGGGGGGTAGCCCCTTCAGGAGGCCTGCAGTACACCCCTGGATGCCAATCTAGACTTGTGAGGGGGAGGCAGGCAGGCTCACTCTTGCGGACCTTTACATGAAAAGATTTCCTTCCCCAACCAGCAGCACCCCATGCAACAAGCACCCAGAAAAAAGCCAGAGGCTTTGCAGGGGAGGTGGGCAGCACTGCCTATTGAACTCAAAACGCTCCCAAAAATGCATGGCTCTCAAGCAGAACCACCAACAATCCCCCCCAGAAAGCAACCTGGCATGACCCAAGAAAATAAACCAACCAAAATATCAAATCTTGTATTAAAATGCCACGTGGCAGTAAAGTAGTACTGAAAGGGCAGGAGGGTAAAATTGTTCTGGCATGCCCCCTAGCACATTTTACTAGTTATAGCATAATAAGCCATTGAGTGGTAAATCACGTCCACATTACTTATTTAGCCTTCTTAAACTAAGAAAGAAAAAATTAAACCAGAAACATTTTTAGTGACTAACGGAGGACATGTACAAGGGCCCTAGGAGACAAGTCAGATCTCTTAAGCTGGTTGTTTGACATTGATGCATCTCAGCCACAGCCCAGTAAGAGAGGAATGGATTATGATCCATGTTTGTGATCCAAGATCATATTCAGGGTAGGCACTATGATCATGTCAGTAGAAGGATAGAGATTTTGTTGCATGGAAGATCAGCATTTTGTTATTTAGGAGCAAAATATCAAATCTGCTTTACAAAGCACTCGGCTGAATCTGCAATTACTATGCTTGTTACTTTGCCCCAAATTTTAACGCCATATCTAACTCCCTCTGGGCTCTGAGCTTGATTAGATATAGAAACATGCCCACCTAAGGTTCTGTCCCCATGGGGACTCAAAAACGGCATGTCACGTATGTTGCTTCTGCAGCCTACACTGGTGTTACCAAAGAAACAAAGCACAGAGAAGAACTTTAGCTGGATTCCTGGACTGTGTTGGAATGGATGGGCTGTGTGGGCCCCGAGGAGAAACAGACCCTGGACAAGAATCACAGGTCCATGTGGAGTGGATTTTGGACAGCAACCCTTGGGACAGGAGAGTCTAAAGTACCCACTAGAATGGATTCTACTTCTAAGAACTGAAAGGAGGGAAGATGCAATGGCCCATGTGTTGGTCTGGGACCTGAGAGCAAGGGGTTCAGTTCCCAGTGTTAGCACAGATATGCAACATGAGCTTGGGTGAGTCATTTAATTGCTTGGTGTCTGACTTCCTCATCAAGTGAATGGGATCACAGCAGTTCAGTAAATAAATAAATACATTATAAATTGCATTTCAGACTGTGAGGTACTAGGTACTATGGTGATGGGCACCAGGAAAGCACCGGGATAGAAAGAATTTCAGTAGGAACAGAGTAACCCTTATCCACGAGCAGTGGTGATACCTCCGAGTCTGCATCCCATCAATGTAACTTTACCAACACAGTCATTCAGCTTGGAATTCCCTTTCTATGTGCCCTGCCAGATCAGCCATCATGACTCACCAGTTTCCAGCACTGTCTGCAGAGCAGAAGAAGGCCCTTTTCGAAACTGCTCATAAGATTGTGGCTTCAGGGAAGGGGATCCTTGCAGCAGATGAGTCTGTGGGTGAGTTGACCAGCTACTGACACTTTTTAGCACCTTTTAAATTCATGTTTCTCTTTTAAATCATAAGGGGAAACAGGCAAAAGTAAATCAAACTCTAAATTATGTAATCCCTGTGTCTCTTTGGAAAAGTGGTTCATCAGGGATATGCTTATGGTGGGCAGACAGCATGGGTATTTGGACTGAAGGCCTAGTCCACTTTAACTGTTCCATCCTTGTGCATAACTGAAAGGACTGTCAGACTTAATATCTTGCACTCTGACCTGTGGTTGCTTTTGCCAGGTACAATGGGTAGCCGGCTGCAGAGAATCAATGTGGAGAACACTGAGGAAAATCGCCGTGCCTTCCGAGAAATCCTCTTCTCTTCAGATGCCTCCATCAACCAAAGTATTGGCGGCGTGATCTTCTTCCATGAGACCCTCTATCAGAAGGACAGCAGTGGAAAGCTATTTCCAGCTGTCATCAAGGACAAGGGCATTGTGGTTGGAATAAAAGTGCGTATCGCCAAAGCACCTGGTGGCATGATACACCAGTCCCGCAGCTCTGAATGCAAACTATATGCTGAGGCTGGGATCACTGATAACCACTGATCTTGTACAGTCATTGCTGTTCCCATTCTGTACATTGCCAAAGCAAACTTATAACCATTGTATTTATCCTGGAAACCCTCGAGCTTCAGCAAAGCTCTTGCTGCATCCCCTCTAGCAACAACTTTTATCCTCTCCTTTGACTCCATACCAACTCCTAGAACTCCTGAGCTGTCCCCCGCAGCAACTCCACCCCTGCTCCCTCCTTCTCTTACAGTCACCATTCCCCTTCCCTACCATTACAGTTGCTTTCACCTGTGATTTCCCAGTTCCCCAACATTTTCCCCCCACCCCACCAATCCTCGTCTCATGACCCTGGCCACATCAACAGATTCCTGCAGACAAAGCCTGAAGAGTCTGTACTAATTCAAGATTCACCTTGACTTGTTCACAATTGACCTTTCTTATTTTCATTGTGTGTCTCCACAGCTGGATAAAGGCACGGCCCCTCTGGCAGGAACCAATGGAGAAACCAGCATTCAAGGTGAGACATCTTCTCTGAGTGACTGAAGTATTTGATGCTCGGTTGCGGGTCTTAAAATTCAAAGCTGCTTGGGGCAGGAGGAATGCAGCATTGTGGTTTATTACAGGGCAGGAGTTGGGGCTAGTTCAAAGGTTCTGGTGGGATTGTGCTCAGTGGCAGCCTTTAATGCACTTCTGCTCCACCACTGCTCTCCTTTCCCAAGCGACATTCGGAGAGCAGCTCCTACCCTGCTCAGACACACCCCTTCCAGCTTGCTGCACACTGCCAGCAGCACCAGCGACTCCTCTTGAATTCAGACTATGCAGGCAGCAGGGGATTAAGCTACAAGAGCTGTTTGGGCAGGGGAGTCGGGGGTGGAGGGGGGTACAAAGAATAAAAGAGAAGAAATGATCTCCAGCTGGAGTCAAAAAGAAATTCTTCCTCTTCCCCTCCCCACTTTCCATCCAGAGAGGTCTGTCAACTAGCAAACTTAAGTCCCTGGCTACTGAAGGACACTGCATTGGACATAATTGCTGACCAGGATATAGAAAAGGAAGGGCTGTTTTTCAAAAAACAAGATTCCCCCGTTCCTCCCTCCACACTTTGCACAGTCTGTGCAAGGCTCACATTAGCCATTGCTCTGAGAAGAAGTCACTCGCTTTCTTCTCACTTGAGTTAAAGGGCTCCCCAAAAACACTTAAAAGGAGGCATTTAGGGAAGACAACCATAGGCAGAAGGCTGTGTTCAGTGTGTAGTGCTCAGCCCTCCCTGACAGATCCTTTGCCTTCCCTACTCACAGGGCTGGATGGGCTTGCTGAGCGCTGTGCCCAGTACAAGAAGGATGGGGCTGACTTTGGAAAGTGGCGTGCAGTGCTGAAGATCACTGACACCACCCCCTCCCAACTCGCCATCCAGGAAAATGCCAATACGTTGGCACGCTACGCCAGCATCTGCCAACAGGTACAAATTCTCAGAGCATGTGTGAAATAGCTCCCTTCCATGTTTGCAATGCAAGAATGAATAGTGCATTGCCTACCCTTTCTTTCAAGACAGTTCCCCTAGGTGCTGGAGGGATTTCCCTTCAGATAGGGAGGGTCTTTCAGTATCTCCGCAGACTTCTCTGTTTTCCTATTTTTAGCATGGCCTTGTGCCCATTGTGGAACCAGAGATCCTCCCTGACGGAGACCATGACCTCCAGCGCTGTCAGTACGTCACTGAGAAGGTAAGGATTTCATCTGCCACATAGATCCTGTTTTCATGAATCAACCTAAACAATGCTTAGCTCTCCAGTACCATTTTACACTTCTCCATCTGAAAGTATTTTGCAGAGACCATATTCTTCCATGTTACAGCTGAAGAGAATGAGACACAGATATGTTAAGTGAAAGGCTCAAGATCACCTAGTAAATTCATGGCAAAGGTGAGAATAGACTCAATGCCTCCAGGCTCTCAGACAAGTCTCCTTGCCATTAGGTTACATTGTTTCCTTCACAAAAGACTCGTTAAAGAGTAGAAGGCATTATCCAGGACTCTACTTCCATTTCATAATTACTTAATCATCTAGGAGGAAGGCAAACTTGAAGGGGTAAAGCCAGGAATCTGATAATGAAGTCTGAAGTCCCCAGTCCTCTGAGGAGATGGAGGGTTCTTCATGGCAGGTTTACTGCTAAAGTGAGTAAAAGAAGAAGCTCAGAGTTGATTAAACTTGAAGAGTGAATTCCCTTCTAACCCCAGGAACCAGCTGTCTCTCTCCTGCAGGTATAGGATGGGAATGACTGTCGGAGATAAAATCTGGCATTACACAAATATGGGTCTGGTTTAATTCTCCTGTTTTCATTGCTCCCCAGGTCCTGGCTGCTGTGTACAAGGCCTTGAATGACCATCACGTCTACTTGGAGGGGACACTTTTGAAACCCAATATGGTGACTGCTGGGCATTCCTGCTCCAAGAAGTACACCCCTCAGGAGGTAGCCATGGCTACAGTCACTGCCCTCCTCCGCACTGTTCCTGCTGCTGTTCCTGGTAACTCATCATTCATCCTTACCACCCCCCGCCCCCGCCCCACACACACACACACCTTTTCTTTTCAGACTGTTTGCCTCATGGTTCCTGTTGGGGTTGCTTGGAGCACATCTCACCATAGGCACTGTTACTTCTCAAATACTGCTATGCAGACAAGACCCTGGTGGTCACACCATCTCCCCTGTTTGGTCATAGACACCTGTTTTGCTCCTGGGAACATGCAGTGGGGAGGTGGTTTGTGTGCTTGTTGGGTTGGTGCAATGTTAAGAGGACAGTTTGTCTCTCTGTGACTGTAAATGCAATATCAGTGGTAGCTGTGAATAGGCACGTACAGGATTTTTTGCTTTGTTCCCTCTACCTCCACTACAAGAATCTGCTGCATCATCAGAGAGCAGAGTGAAGCCTGGTTAAACTTTGTTTTCCCTTTCTTCCTGCAGGAATCTGCTTCTTGTCTGGAGGCCAAAGTGAAGAGGAAGCATCTATCAACCTCAATGCCATCAACCTCTGCCCCCTGCCTAAACCCTGGAAGCTGACCTTCTCCTATGGACGGGCTCTGCAGGCGTCTGCACTGGCTGCATGGTCAGGGAAGTCTGCAAACAAGAAGCCTGCGCAAGAGGCATTCTGCAAGCGAGCTCAGGTATGGGCCTTTACTTCTTCATTTCACCTCTACTTCTTCTGCACTATGTCCAAGGGTCCCACTCCCTCAGTCCTGAGGCCTATTTGTTCTGTCGAAGGCATGAACCAAGCCCAGCACACAACATAGTAGCCCCTACTAATTGTGTGGCTAGTGAGGACAAGGACAACTAAATATGGGAGACAAAAAATGACAAAAGCACGTGCAGTTTAAAAAAAAGTTTATCCTTGGGGGACACCAAGCAGAACACCCCAGACAGCATCCACTGACTCTCAGAGGTGGCCAGGGAGCTGGCCTCTCAGTCATAGGTTCATAGTTTCATAGTTAGTAGGGTCGGAAGGGACCTGAGCAGATCATCAAGTCTGACCCCCTGCCATGGCAGGAAAGAGTACTGGGATCAAACAACCCCAGCAAGGTGTTCATCTAACCTCCTCTTAAAGACCCCCAGGGTAGGAGCC